GCCTTTTTCCCCCTTTTTTTTTTTTTTTACAGAAGACAGTAAACACGAGAACACGCATTGGCCCCATCTTCTCTTGGCCCGTTCTCGCCACTTCTGCCCGTTATCGTAAGGCTTGATCTGCACGGTAGTGGTTTTTCTCTTATTGCAACATTTTTCTCTCTGTAATATATCTCATTCTCGTTGTCCGTTCGGACATCCTTGCATGCTTTGTAGGGAAACTATACGGGTCATGAATCGGTAACCATATATTCATTCTCCGGGTGAATATGTTGCCCCTCGAAGGTCGCAGCCAGGCGATCTTCATCGTCACTACTATCTTCCTTGGACTCTCATTTATTGCCGTCTGTCTACGATGCTTCGTGCGGATTCGACTTGTGAAGGCCTTTGGCTGGGATGATACCTTTATGGTATGCGCAATGGTATGTATGATAGGTTTGATGCGTAACTGAGGTCGGGACTGATTACTTGCAGTTGTTGAACATCTTGTTCGCTCTATGCGGTATCACCGGCGCATTGTATGGAATGGGACAAAGATCTGATGACCTCGTGAAGAGGGGTACGATGGAAACCGCAATGTTTGTATGTTGACCTTTGACTCCAACCTTCACTTACGAGATGAGAATCACATGCTTATAATTCCCAAAGTGGTGGTGGCTCGGTCAAACCAGCTATGTCTGGACCTGTGCGCTGGCCAAAATCTCTATCGCATTCGCCCTCCTCCGCTTGACGGTTTCCAAGCCACATAAACTCGTGCTATGGGCTGTCATTGGCGTCACTTGTGTTGTTGGTCTTGTCTTCTGGTTCATGCTGACACTACAATGTCAACCGGTTAAGTTCTTCTGGCAACGGGTTCGCCTTTATGGGGACCCTCATGCCGACGTCTCTGGCACCTGCATGAACCTCGATAATATCATTGCCATTGCTTATGTCTACAGTGTCACTGCTACATTGTGCGATCTGACCCTGGGTCTTTTGCCTATTGCCCTAGTGTGGAACTTGAAGATGAACATAAGGACCAAGGGTGCCTTGGCGGGCATTTTGGGAATGGGATGCATGTATGCCTGCCCTTTGATACCCTGGAATCAGACTCAGTACTGACTATTGGTATTTAGTGCGAGCGCAGCAGTCATTATTCGCATCCCCTTCTTGCACGACTACAAGGACCACGACTTCCTATGTGAGTTTCTATTCCTCTGATTTATATGCGCTCGATAGAATCAACAGAGAGTGAAAACCAGCAACAACTAACACCAGTCAATAACAACAGACGCAACCGCCAATATCTCAATCTGGTCCAATGTCGAGGCCGGCCTCGGAATTGCCGCAGGCAGTCTGGTAACCCTTCGACCCTTATTCCGCTGGTTCCGCGACCCCAGCTCGGCGGGAGGAAGCAAGAGCAAAACCAAGCGCACCGGCGGCAGCGTGCCTCTCTCAAGCGTCAATGGAGGACGCTCCGCCTCATCCGGTCCGCAATACTGGCGGCCAGACCTAGATCGGGAAGATCAACAGGTGATTACGACGATCCACACCTCGAATGGGTCAGCGACCAGCCGGACGAGTAGCCAAGAAGATCTGAATCCGACGAACGGCGGTACATTCTTTCAAGGGGTGAATGTACAGAAAACGTTTTATGTTTCCGAGGATCAGACATCATAAGTGGCTGGCCCGGTAGTTGGATAGACTTTAATATATCTAAACTTTAATATTTTCTTTTGCTCTTTGTTAGAGCAATACTACTATACTTTTGCACACTGCCCATGACAGTTCCATTGCGCTCATTTTGGAGCGGAGCGTCTGAGACTCCTGTCTTTCCCTTGGCTTTGAAGTCCTCCTTGGATAGTGTAAACAGGGACACCATTATCGATTTCCATCTTAGTTCTCAACGATTCATACCCATGGCATAGTTGGTTGGTCACCGAATTTGCATGACTTGAATGGTTACATACATGAGACATACATTGCTTTGTCGAAATCTGGGACGTGGTTGGATGAACGTTTTGTGTGATGGACGTACAAAATGTCGACGAGTGTATGGGTGGGAATACTCCCACGACCCACTAAGGGTCTTCATCTGCCTCACGAAGATCGTATGCTCGTGGTACTTAAAACCCACACTCGCAGCCCAGATTTTGCATTTCATAATGCGGGTGCGCCTGCCCCCGCGGGGTTTCATGTGTTCTTCGGTTTTCTGAAGGTCATGGTCGGGTACCCATGGTACTTTGAGCTCGCCCACAAGTCTAAGACCGCGGTGTCTTGCAGGCCCACTAGATCCGGGATTCATCTGATGGTCCTCTGGCGTGCTTTTCTGGGTTGAATATTTCGTCGTTGGAATTAAAGTCGGGGCGCGCACGAGTGTCAACGTGATCAGCTGTTGGTAGAGCCTGTTGAGCCTCCTTACTTGGCCTCATGGGAAGCCAGTGAAACTCGATTGTCATTGATGCCCGGTTCTCGTTCCCTGGTAAGGGGAGAAACTGAACTGTGGCAATGCTATCGTTTCAAGGGCTATCACCAGGTCTAATCGGTGCTATCGTGTGGGAAGTGCAACCTTTCAGGTACCTAATCTCCAGCAGGCGTAGGTCTTATCTCCGAATGGCTTGAGGTCGAGATCTCGGTGCTGCAGAAATATGCCTAGAAATAATTAGAATTATCTCATTGTGATCGGTACCTATGTACATATCTGACTGAAAGCGTAAAGAAAGTATCCGGCATAGATATACATCCTACCCGCACTTACCTCGACTGGTATCATCTGGTGTCCTCCTTCCTGTCTCATCATCTTCCTTTCATCTCTCTTTCCTCTCGTCAATTCCCATCCCCATTGACGGGAACCGCGGACAAATTTGTGAAGCGCCTTAATGGCACGGAGCTCATCTATGATGAGGTCATGGTACATACTACATCTGTATGTAGTATTTCCCCTTCTACAGCCCACGGGTATGCACGCAGACATGCTTTCTAACGGGGCTACAGGATGCAACCTTGGAAGTCTATATTCCATTAAACACCTTTCCCCCCTGTATATGTCAATTTTGAAGCTCACCATATCAACTGCCCGGGCGGCCTGGTCGTATGATTTGCGTTTAGTAAGCATCCCCAATGGATCAGTTCAACCTTTCAATTTACTAACAATCTCTCCAGGGCTTCAACCAGAACATTATTACTCGAGGTCCCCGGGCTCGGGCCTAATAGATTCATGAAACACTTTATCCTCGTCTCCATAACAGCCCGGCCGGGCTAGCTCAATCGGTAGAGCGTAAGACTCTTAATCTTAAGGCTGCGGGTTCGACCCCCGCGTTCGGCTATTCCTAAAACCAAACCTGAGATTTCCTTTTTTGCTCATTTCTTTTTTGGATTTTCTTGGTATACTTTAACTCTGTCGAATGAATATATGCAACCCACCCACCCACCCATCCATCCATCGTCCTAGTTTTTACGTGTAATATCTTTTCATACGTCGATACCCTCGGAGTTAGTCCAGTTCCGTAGTATCAATATCTATGGATGTCAAAGGACTAGATGGCCTCGGGAGTTTGCAAGTCTACTCCGTGAAACACAAGAAACTTTGATATCATGGCAAATTATTGTGTCTTGGTATAATATATATAATCAAGAAACTTGACCATAAACGAAATATGAAGACAGTTCTATGACGTGACCATTGATATCTGATTTTCGACCGCGATTCGGGCAAGGAGATCAGCTCGCATATACGTATTCCTTACCATAAATGTCGCGTGGCCTCTGTATGGGAAATCCCGCGCAAAAGTGTTTATTAAAGACTAATCCTCGCGCTGTGATGAATTCCCAGCTCTTGATAGTTTTATCGAATTAGAGAGGATTCTGGTTAGCATGAGGAGGAGAGGGAGAAATTTGTTCTTGCGCATGAGACACTGAGACTATTGTTTAACCACCCCCCCCCCTCCCTCCCATGATCAACTTGTTTATAAATTAAGCTAACACTTCAAGGTCTCGAGTTCACTATGCATGCATACAAATATATGTCCCCCAGTTTCTCCATTCAACAGACGAACGTTCATAGCTTACTAGGAATAGGCGTTTCTGCAGGTTTTGGCAGCTCGGTCAAATATTCCTGTACATACTTCGACACCTGCTGGCCAAGGCCAAAGCTGAAGGTAAAACCACCGGCTTCTTGTCCATATGCATGTATAACCTTCTGTCCATGAAGTACTTGCTTCTCGACCCGAACACCACCGTTTTGGCGCTCAATAACTGGAAACACACCCACATGGTCCGTAATAATGTCGTAGTCGAGGGGGTTGGGTGAAGGGAATACATCTGGCTGATTATCGTGCTGACGTTGCAGAATCTGAAATTTAATCTGATAAGTGCTCAACTTTAGGCCACGGAAAGAGGCAAGACTAACCTTTTTGCGTTGGTCTTCATAGGAAGCGAAATCGATTTCACCAAGCGTTTTGATCCCGCCCATATAGATCGTGCCGTCTCCACGTGCGAATGCCGTGGAATAGTATCCGTCTGGGCCACGGCGGATATAACACCGGTTGTAACCATCCTTGCGGAGTCTGATATTCTGTTGCCGCACGGGAGTGATGCGCTTCTCCTCAACATCAAGTAGCTTCATAGCACCGAATCCAGTGGCGTTGATCAGAACATCGTGTCCCATACCTCTCAAATCCCGCAAGGATTTGACATAAGTACGCTGGAACTTCACGCCCTGCTTCTCCAAGTGCTGCCGGAACCAGGGAAGGAACGTAGGAGGTGTAATGACGACAGTCTGGAACACCATGCCAAATTTCGCGCCTTTCGGAAGCTCCGAAGGAGACAGAAAGCGGAAGCCAGGAACTTTCCCTTGATACCATACTTTTGCCGGATCTCCGTTATCCATGATCTCAGTCATTTCAATCTGGCGGATGCCAGATTCAGGGTGCCGCTCTGCAATTCGCCAGAGCTCGGAAAAGGAGTTCAACTGCATCTCCTGCTCCCACGGAGTCGAATCGTGAACGCCTAGCCAGATAGCGCCTGCCCACTGACTGACATATCGCTGGTCCATCGCATCACCAGGCAAAAAATCACCTAGGATAGTAACCTTAGTGTTCTTCGCCAATTGACTGGCGATTCCCATGCCGGTGATCCTAATGATAATGATATAGTTATCAACATGTATTCATTCATAGCGACGCAGTAGACCATACATACCCAGCCCCCAATATTGTTATTTTCGACATCTTGGCAAGGCTTCGCGCTGCTGGAGAGAAACAAGTATTTTAGAGTTAGAAAGGCTTCGTCCGGTTCAAGGGTGGCTTTTATGGGAGGGAAGTCATACTTAGATAGTGCAGTCGACCTTGGTGAGTCGGGAGAGAGACCCACTTGATGTGGACTCTCTCCAGATTACGAAGTAATACCTAAGGTGCTATCATTTCCTGGGGCGTTCTGATTGTCTTTTCTGAAGCAAGAATCAGGTGGTGCTAATCAAAAAGGTCGTAGCTTCACTTTCAGCTACGGCTATTTTGTGATCGCGGTAGGTGGGTTGGGGATGCCAGTGCGAGCGGGGGCACGAGTGCCTCTGCCATACAACTGTTCCTTACCGCATTGGGAACATAAGCGGACCAAGTGGAGCTACGATTTGATATTAGCCCGCGCCGCGGATTCCTCGGCAAATGTTCCATTCGGGGTATTGATGAAATTATCGCTTACTGTCTTTGTTAGGCATCTGCCTTGAGTTACTATCCTTCTCCAGGACGGCTGCTTTAATGAGCAGACAAGCAGAATACCAAGGCCTCTTGACGAGCTCAGCGTGCAGCGTAGGTAATTGTTAATTTCCTAATCTGAATTCAAAGCGAAGTCGGAAAATGGGACACCCGTCAACTGGAGTCGTGCTGACGAAGCCTAATGATATTCCAAAGTTACATATAATAGAACATTTTCCTCAGGGATACATTTTCATTCTACCAACTGTTGGCTCATCGATACCCGGTACAGAATGACCCGAAACTCTATACTATTAAACCCTTGCTAATGAGCAATCAAAGAACTTCCCAGGACAACCAGGAATCGTTGTTCACATCATGCCGCGCGGCCGAGGAAACGAAACTGGTTCTTCAGAACCCAATACCGTGCCCTACGGTTCCTGGGAATCTTTCTCCGAGCAACCGTTCCCCATGTATGCAGGAACCAAGTCGATCATCTACAGGTCCGCTGACGGCAAGGTGGTCGTGGGAATGTTGCGTGAAAAGGGGAAAGATACATTAGTATGGCCAGTGGATGAATTTCTTTTCGTCACCCAGGGAACGATCCATATCGAAGTCCACGGCGGCGAGTCATTTACACTCAGCAAGGGCGATCTGATGGTGATGAAAAAGGGCCAGACAATCACGTTTGAGTGTAGCGAAGACTTTGCCAATGTTGCCGTCTTCATGGATCTGGAGGGCAAGGTCACGCTCGTATGAACTGCAGACCGAGACCTTTAGTAAACAAGCGAAAGGTTCCTTTATGTGTCGATATGTTGGCGATTTTGAGCAACTTTCGAGGTGTTGAATTAACCTCCTCCGAGCAGTATGCTGTAAGAAGTTGACCTAGCCAATTCGCAGGCGCCACTGTTTTGCCAGCATGAGGTCTAGCCATGTCGTTTCAATCCCAGAGTCGCGTAAATTCCATAGCTCTTGGAGCAGCTCGATTACCCACAACGTCGGTGGGATGCGGTTCGTGGAATAGACAGCCTGAAGCTGCTCTATCACCCGCTCACGCAGCTCAGTATCGGTCGATTTTAATTCAGCTCCAGCACTTAGCAATGGGAGTGTGTGCAAGTTTACATATGGCGAGTTAATCGGTGTTACAAACAACATTTCCAGAGTCCGTAACGCCAGTGCTCGGATTGGACACTTGCTAGTCACTTCCTCACTGTCCGTTTCGATCTCCAATGCAAAGTAAACTGTCCGGCCACATAGACGATAAAGCATGAGAAGGCCGTGGTTGCGGAAGGCCTCGGCCAGCAGGTACGCAACTGGATTCTCTTCAGCCGAAGTGTAGGAGTTCAGTTCGGCCTCGAAAGTCGTCTCGCGTACAAAGTCTCGTGGAATACCGTCAGTAATTGAACGACAATATCGGCCGAGTTGCCCGAGTAAAAAGTAGAGATCGATGGAGTGGGATGTGATGGTATGGAAGCGCGAGCGTGCGGTTGTAACGTATGCAGCCAGCCGACTTCGAGAGACCTGGGGATGATCGACTATGTCGAGACAAAAGGAACAGGCCATATCCCAATAAACATAGAAACCCATCGAGAGATGCACCAAATCATCATCCACTGTGGCCTGCTGCTCTAGGATCATATCGACAGAAGCCTGGGCGGCTAGTAGATGCTCCCTCCCATAGTCTGTGGGCTCAGTAGTCATCCAGGAGGACGACATACCCAGCATGAGGATAATGAGGAAACAAAGAGGCGAGCCTAAGCTCTGGGACTGCAGTTCCTGGCGAAGATTCCGTAACGACTTGCTCCGCTCCTCTAGACTCACGGTCATTTGGGAGGGGTGGAAGTGCTGTTCATGAGCGGCACTCACGCACTGGATGATATAGACGAGCGAACTTGAGGCAGACAAATATTTGACGATAGGGAAAGACATTGGGTTTCGGTCCCGGTCAAGACTCATGATTTGTGACATGCGCTCAAACCAGTACTGAAGCAGGCGCAAGTTCACATGGGCATCAGGGTTTATCGGCTGGGTAAGCTGTGACAAGGGGTTCGCTGTACCTAGACACCAGACCTCCTGTTGCCATTGAGAGGCCGGAAGAACGGGTTGACAGATCGAGCCTCGGCGACGACATCGCAAGCAAACTGGAAATGTCTCATCACACTTGACACGCCGTTGGCGGCAGCCTCGACAACCCGATCGGGTGCGAGAACGAGTTGGCCGGGACTCAGATTTATCCGGCACGGCTGTGCTTGTCTCATTCTGGTCCGGGTGGTAGGCCCGCTGGGGAGCGAAGCGCACTCGAAAGGAAGGCATCAGGACGATCTGTGGAAGAAAGAGCAGAAGACAAGACGCAGGGACAAGGGCATTTAGGAAGGTGAAAAGGTCCAGGGAGATAGCAAGGTTGATAACCCGGATACCTATCAGTCGTTTGTCATATCTTGCCCCAAAAGGGTTTAGACAGTCCCCCGCACACTCGGGGAGATTGTGACACAGATAGTAAAAAGTGGAGAATTGGACAAAGAAAAGAAAACATCTAGACTTTATCCGTCCGTACGAGAGTTAACAGAACGCACTTGTTGCCAGGAACCTTGGAAGCAGAGAAAACCTTACTCAGATCCGTGGATGCCATGCGGGGTTACGGTAGAGCGTCCAGGGTAGTCCAGGTCGCATACCATTTTCAGTCATTACCCGAACGCTTATCTCGCCACAGCCAACCAACTCCCTCCGGCTATCCTGGCGCCCTTTGAACGACGATCTGGATGTCGAAGCAGACACTGTCACGTATTGTCATTGGGTAACACAGTATGAGCATTTTCCTACAAGACGAGGAGTGGCGGAATGGCGCTCTCAGTACGGAGTACGTGCTGTTCTCTTAGGCAATCGCTTATCCTTGTTCAATTGTATATCCAAAAATTCACCCTCTTTCAGAAGCGAAATCTTGCCAGCAACCACCGCATCTTACTTGGTTAGCAATTCATTCCACTTTTACTTCCGTTACAATCAACTACCGTCAGCTACTGTCAAAGTTGCATTCTGATGAGGCGATTGGCGAATTCCAATAATGCCATGCCCCAAAAGATGGAAAACAAGAAGAAACAAAAAGTAGCTCAGCTCGAGGACTTTTCCATTGGGGATTCCTTCGATATGCAGCGTTAGTACCACGTCTATCTATAACTTGACATTGTACCTGACGGATTTGAACTCCATTGCACAGATATTGGGAGTAGTCGAGGCCGGCGGAAATTCAGTTCCTTGCAACTGATTGGCTCGGCGTACACGGTCACCAATTCCTGGCTGGGAGTAGCCGGCGCCTTCACAACAGGAATCACCGCTGCAGGGTCGGCTAGCATAATCTACGGTCTCTTACTGATGTTCACGATCAACTTGTTCGTTGCCATTGCCCTTAGTGAGTTGACTAGTGCGATGCCAAATTCTGGCGGTCAATACTATTGGGTAATGCGTTTGGCTCCTAAGCGATACGCACGCGGTTTGTCTTATATGACTGGCATTTGCAATCTCTTTGCCGCATACTGTGTCACTGCGAGCTCTTCAATCGCCGTGAGTTCATGGATCTTTGGTAGTGTGAGGCTCGTGTACCCTGACCTGTACGCACAGCTCGTTTTCCGCCATCATCTTTCGAGCGACGGCTAACCCCAAGATCCTCTATTCACAGTGCGGTGAACGCATGGAGAATCTATTTAGGAGCATTGGGGTTGAATATAATCGCAGCTATTGTCAATCTCTCGCAGCAGGTCGTCTCGCGCAGCGTTTCAATCGGGCTGTGGATTAGTCTGCTTGCCTGCATATCTATCACGATTGTATTACCTACAGCTTCGCGCGATCATACGGGGCCAAAATTTATCTTTGCCTCGCTGCAGAACAATAGTGGCTGGTCATCTAATGTTATGGCATTCATAGTTGGCTTGATCAACCCTAACTTTGCCTTTGCTGCTCTTGACAGCGCTACTCACCTGGCTGAAGAGACCCCTGATCCAGCACGGAATATCCCAAGGGCGATCCTATTTACAGTGGTGATCGGATTTATTACCAGTTTTCCTTTCGCTTGCATGTTGATGTACACTCTCACGGATCTCACCGCCGTTATCAACACGCCAACCGGAGTGCCACTTCTAGAGCTTTTTCGCATTGCATTTCAGAGCGATCCTGCGGCTCTCGCTGCTATTGCTTTCGTTGCAGTGACCTATTTCTTCTCACTCCTCCCCCAGCAAGCTTATCAATCTCGGCTTTGTTGGGCATTCTCTCGCGACCATGGACTTCCTCTCTCAAGCCTCTGGTCACAGATTCACCCCACTTCAGATGTACCACTCTATGCTCATCTGCTTTCGGTCTGTATTGTGTTTCTACTTGGCTTGCTATATATTGTCTCAACAACGGCGTTCAACAGGTAGTATCACCTTCTCTTCTAGTATGGTACGTCTAACTAACTGCTTTACCTAGTCTCATTACAGGTGTTATCACATTCCCTTACCTGACCTATCTGGCCCCCTGCATCCTTTCCCTTTCACGCGGCGAAGACCAACCTAGAGGACCGTTCAATATTGGGTGGCTTGGAAAAATATCGAAGATAATCACAGTGATCTGCTGCCTATTTGCGATAATTATGTACTCGTTCCCTTATCAGATGCCGGTGACTACTTCTAGTGAGTATTCCAGAGCCTCTGGCCTTATGAAAGTCACTTGGTTAACCTCGGTAATTCCCAGATATGAACTATATCACAGCGATCTACGGCGCCGCGCTCATATTTGGAACAGTGGATTGGTTGTTTCGCGCTCGCTACGAATTTGCCTTTGATTCCGGTGGTGTCGACCATACTCAGTGAAACGCTGACCGTGGTATAACCGGAGTTGAACGTCAGGGGTGTGGCAATTCTTGACCAATAAACGGGCCGGTTTCAAAATTACAAGATTAGATATGTCCAATGCCCATAACCTAGCATTGTTCTGATAACTATTTTGGGTTGCGCATACTAATAGCCTTTTCTTTCCAAAGGGTTGATCGTAGTAGTAGAAAGAAAGGGCACATCAGTAAATCTCATTATTTGCTCTTTTGATAAATACGGAATGTTCGCGCAAGGTCAGTCAACCTTGCCTATGTATGTAGGTGGAAGCCATTTCTCTTATCTGACAGGTCGGCTGTAGCCCTTAAAAGGCGCAGCTTATCAAAATTCAATACCATATACCATTTAGCAAGGAGTAAAGCACTAGTAAGATTAGAGAGTTAGCCAGTTTATGAGGTTCAGACTATAAATGATAAATAAATATTGACTATTATCGGGAAGGCCCTCCGTTACACACGTTCCTATCATTGATAACCATAGGCTATCAAGACCTCTTTTTATAGTTTTAATTCTGAACCTTTTTGCAGCCTCTGTGGCATGACTTCAGGGTCTCACTGAAATTGGAGGTGTGGTTGTTGATATATATTTGCAGCCGAAACAGCTAAATTAGAGTGTACTTTATTGAAATAACATATAACTAATAACCAGTCTTCTATAAACTCTCGTATAGAATCTACAATATTGAAATGGGGATGAAATAGGGGAATCTTGTTGAGATATTCGATTCCAGAATACTGCATCTAATAACTATGGTGTTTTGGGGTGCACAGCTCGGGAAATATGTCTGTTCGGTTGAGGTAGAAGGCCGGCAGAAAGAAAAGCGGTATTACTTAAATGATTTTGGAGAAAAATGTCAAAAAGGCTACAGAGAGCGAACACAGACAACAGCTTATACCGTTGACACCAATAATACCAAAGAAATATCCAACCAGCGTGAACAGCCAGATTAGCCTGCGGCGTTTGCCGGGGTGCGCCGCGGCGCTTGAGGTTCGGCTCCCATATTGGTCCTTTCGCTAAATCGCTCAATCGGGTAAGAAGCGGCGCAGAGGGAATCCGGCTCCACTGAGATGGCGAGGTTTACATTGAGATTAGCAGCTTGACTATTTAATGGCATGATACTTTGCTGCCTGACTACTACTCGAATTATATACAACGTTGGGCTGCGCATCGCTCATCGTCGCAATTTCACTTTCGCCCTTTGATTCGCGAAGGAGCTCCCTCCTTCCTGCCGCCATGAATTCCCCCACCCTTCCCACGATCGTGGAAGATCTACCTGTCAGCAGACGTCAATTTGACTATATCATTGTTGGCGGAGGCACGGCTGGCTGTGTCATTGCTGACAGACTCGCTGAGAACTTGCCTAATGCCACTATTCTCATGATCGAAGGCGGCGAAAGCGAGCTGGGCAAGGAGGAAATTCTCAACCTCAAGGGCGCAGCTGATCTTTGGGGTTCCGACAAGTATGATTATTCATACCGTTCTGTTCCACAGCCCTATGGTACGAATGACCCCCTAAATCTGACCCCAAGAAAAAAAAAGTCGACCAGCGAGTAACACGCTTGAGCAATTCGTAGGAAACAGCGATATTATTCACTCCCGTGCGAAGATGCTGGGTGGCTGTTCTAGCCATAATGGCTCGATTTCATTTGTTCCTCTCGCATATGATTGCAAGAGGTGGCAAGATCTGGGCGCCGAGGACTGGACACACGCAGAAATGCTGCGTCTAGTGCACAAGCTCCGCAACAATATCATACCTGTCGATGAACGCCATCGCAGTCAGTTAGTCAAGGACTGGTTGAAGACTTGCTCCGAATTGTTTGGAGTACCATACATCGACGATTTCAACCGTGAGATAGAAACTCGCGGCAATCTCACGCAGGGATGTGGCTTTCTTAACCTCGCCTACACACCGGAGAATAATCATAGGAGCAGTGCTAGTGTCGCTTACATCCACCCAATTCTTCGGGGTGAAGTCAAGCGGCCGAATATGACTATCCTACAGAACACATGGGTCTCGCGAGTTCTGTTCGAAGGAGTTACTGCTACGAGTGTCACCGCCACAACCAAAGTTGGCCATGAGTACTCGCTTGTGGCAACATCTGAAATTGTGCTGTGTGCCGGGGCTATCGATACCCCACGTCTGATGCTGCTTTCTGGCCTTGGTCCGCGCCAACAGTTGGCCACCCATCAAATACCCCTTGTCCGTGATATACCCGGTGTTGGAGAAAACCTACAAGATCATGCCGAGACAATGTATATGTGGGAGTTGAACGAGGCTGTTCCTCCCGAACAGGTCGCCATGGGCTCCGAGGGTACCATGGTGTTGCGTCGTGAGGAGTTCAACGCTCGCGGTGATGACAACGGCATTATGGACACCCTATTCCATATGTTCACCGTTCCCTTTGACACCTATACCAAGCCCATGGGCTACGAAACGCCCAAAAACGCCTTTTGCGTTATTCCGTATACGCCTCGACCTGCCTCGGTTGGCCGTCTATGGCTGAAGTCAGCCGACCCAAAGGATAAACCGATCCTCGATCAGCGCTATTTCAGTGATCGGGAGGGATATGACAAGGCTAGCAACCTCTTCATGCTAAAGATGGCGCGCCGTATGGCCCATGCCGAACCCTTCAAAAAGTATATCAAGCGTGAAATTGCCCCAGGGGCTCACATTTTCTCCGACGAGGACCTTTGCGAATACGGTCGGAAGGTCCACAATACCGTCTACCACCCGTGTGGCACTGCAAAGATGGGAAATATTGAGACCGATTGTATGGCGGTGTGTGATCCATCTCTTAAGGTGAGGGGAGTCAAACATCTTCGCGTTGCGGATGCCAGTGTATTCCCCTGCATGACTTCGATCAATCCTATGTTGACTGTCTTGGCGGTTGGTGAACGAGCTGCCGAGCTCATCATCAAGGATGCTTCCCGAGCAGAACGAGCTGTACTCTGACTACTGTCCAATTGTCGCTTACTTGTTCCATTTTGTTGTGTATGCATTCAACCAGGTGTTCTAGCCAGCTTTGACGTTGTGAACATGTAAGTAATCCATATGTTACTTAGTGATACATACATTCACACACACCCCGAAAGTAATCCCAACTATGTCGGTCTGGCCCGTTCATTCAGTTGTTCCTTCTACAGTAGCATGTCCTGCAGATATGGTGTGATCTTGCTGGGAATACCCCGAGATATTACGAAACACTTTTAACATGATCCATGGATACCAATCTCAGAATCAAGAGTTAATACTGGTGTAAATCCGTCAATCTAGTAAATAGAGCGAAGGCACATCGAGAAGATCAACCAAGGCTTAACCTCCATCCTCGTAGGAGCATGACGTGTACCCAGGAGGTAGGAATTTCAAGGTCACGGGCTTGCCAAACATCTTGCAGAATGTCAATCGCCATGAGGTTACCGGGTAAGCGGTTGATTGAATACAAAGCATTAAATCGGCCAACCACTATATCTCGTTCCCTGTGATCATATGCCGTAAGCTCTGATCCTGCAGTCAGAAGCGAAATTGCCTGCATATTGGTATGCCAGTTGTGGGTGGGGATTTGGCTCAAATCTCTGACTGTCTGTAGAGCGTATTGCCTGATGATCTTCTCTGTTTCGATGTCCTGGACAGGCGGGTAATTTCCCATGTCTAAGTCTTCCTCAGTCCGACCACCTGTTCGTCCACAGATTCGGTACAGATTGATCAGGCCATGGTTTCGGAAAGAATTACCCAGCAGCATGAGTTCTGTGCATTTGGTAGTTGGTTGCCACGCCAGCAACCGTGCTTCGGATTCTTCTTCTAGCGCAAAGTCTCTGGTGCCGAGCTCAATGAATGACCTGCAGTATCGCCCTAGATTCGCTAGAGTATACATGATCTCAGCCGAGTAGCCCATAATCGGATGAAAGTCTCCAGCAATCTTAGCCACTGCCTCTGGAATCGACGAGCTGATTTGGGATTGTTGACTTGGTTCACAAAGAAATGAGCACGCCATATCCCAGTATAAATATGTGCCAAGAGCCAACTGTGCGAATTGGCGGTCGGTATTTGTCGATGAATTTATAATTAGCTCAATTAAAGCCCTTCCTCCAGTCAGGTGCTCATACCCGAACTGGGAAGACGAGGGATCGATCCAAGGGGTGCTAATTCCAAGCATAAAGACACTAAAGAACGTAGTTGGATGTGGCTGTTTACCACCCAGCTCCTTTTGCAGAAGCAACAGCGCTTTGCCTCGCTCCTCAAGACATGTCTCAAGGCATTCCTTTCTGAAAAACTGTTCATGGGCCGCACTGACGCTCAGGATAGATGGCATGAGCGATGGGGAAATATCCAGATATGCAAGGATTTGGAACGAGAAAGGATTGGATTCAGGGTCCAAAACCATGATCTGGCTGGCTTTCTCACACCAGTGCCTCAGTAGACGCATCTGTGAAGGCGAGGTAATGCCGCGCGAAACTAGTGGAGAAATTTCCAACTGCCATTGTGGTAACGAACTTTCCGACTCGCACACCGTCCCTCGTTTCTGGCATCGGAGACAAACGGGGAATGTCTCATCGCATTTGACCCGTCGTCTCTTGCAGTCCTTACAGCCGGAACGACTTCTCTGGGGAAGAGCGCCTATCTCCGAATATTGGCCACACTTATCACAAGCGATGGGTTTGTCGACAGACACCTGCGTGGTTGGGGCGAACCGGACGTTGTATCTGCGTGGCATTTCGCGGCAGTGCCTGCAGTGCGATAGTTCGGGGTTGAGAATGCCTGCAGGCTGATTCACTCGTTGAAAAATACGGCTTTGTTGTGAGATCCTCTATATTGGCGAATATAGCTTCCTCATTGGAGATAAAAGGGCTTAGCCCGGGATATTGATCAGTCACCGCGCATGACCTTAGTAGATTTCAAATGGGTTGTGTCTAGCGAGTTCGATACGTAAATCGAAATGCCTATCCGGCCTAGTGTGTACCGTACCATTGAACAGATACAATATCCGGATCTTGACGCCATAACTCGCCTGCGCTGACTGGGAATGAGGGGCGCACCTGGCAGGGACGTGGAACAGGAGGAAGCGATAAGAAACGACCCCTGCTTACCCCAGAGCTTATCGCCCCACATCCCTCGCGTTCAGGCCAAAATAGGCAACATTAGACCAGTCCTCGTGAATTGTTAATGCAGGATTGGTGGTAGATCAGGCAGAATAATGACTTGGACTTGGTTTTCTGCGTTGAGTGCCAGCGTATAGGATCTCGGGCAATATTCCAGCCATGTGGAAAAGAAACCAAGCTCCGTGCGATACCCGGTGCTTCTGTCGGATCCGTCCTAACTTTCCACATAAGGAGTGGACGCGATGATGAGGCCGAGCATGCTAAATATCATTCATAGCGCGTGCTGTTATAAAATGAGCCTCGAGCCGTCAGTCCACTTCCGCAATATATCCCCGATCGCAGTTCGCTCTTGTCTAGCACCTGAGACAATGCCGGAAACCATCAATATCGACGCGTTCGTTGTCGGCGCCGGCGTGGGAGGAATTTACTCCACGTACCGCCTGTCGCGTATGGGGCTGTCCGTCAAATGTGTGGACGTTGCCAGCCACGTTGGTGGCACCTGGTATTGGAATCGATATCCGGGTGCCATGAGCGACACCGAAAGCTACCTTTACCGATATTCATGGGACAAGGAAGATTTGCAAACCTACCCCTGGACTCACCACTATGTCTACCAACCGGAGATTCTGAAGTACCTCCAACACATCGTCGAGAAACATGATCTCCGGAAGTACATGAAGTTCGAGACCGAAATGACATCGGCAACATGGAATGAGAGCACTCAGAGATGGATGGTGACCTGCTCCGGCTCTGAAGAGTTGAAGGTTAGCGCTCGCTATTTGGTCAACTCTCTTGGATTGCTCTCCAAAGTCCATTACCCCGATATCTGTGGTCTTTCGTCTTTCGCCGGAGACTTGATCCATACAGCACGATGGCCGGAAGACTTGGACCTTAAAGGAAAGAAGGTCGGCATTATTGGGAACGGATCTACAGGGACACAAGTTATGACAGCAATTGCTCCGATCGTTGGCAGTCTGACGTCCTTCCAACGCCACCCTCAATACTCAGTTCCGAGTGGCCAGCGCCCCGTCACAAAAGAATATCGTGACAAGGTCAATGCTAATTACCAACAAATTTGGGATGATGTCTGGTCATCGGTTGTTGGGTTTGGCGTGCCTGAGTCCAAACGCAATACCATGGATGCTAGCCCTGAGGAGCGGCAGAAAGCTTTCCAGGAGGTCTGGGAGCAAGGTAATGGCTTCCGCTTCATGTTCAGCGCTTTTGGGGACATTACCACCAACAAGGATGCCAACGAAGAGGCGTGCAACTTTATCCGTGGAAAAATTGATGAAATGGTGAAAGATCCCCGCAAGGCAGCAATCCTGAAGCCAAAAGACCTATACGCCCGCCGACCACTCTGTGACACCGGCTACTATGAGATTTTCAATCGTGAGAATGTTGACGTGATCGATCTCAAGGAATCACCGATTGACAAGATCATTCCGGAAGGTATTCAGACAGCTGATGGAACAACCCATCATCTCGACGCGCTAATTTTTGCTACCGGGTTTGACGCTATTGAAGGCAACTACATGCGCGTCAAGATCACAGGACGGAACGGAAAGACGATCCAAGAGCATTGGAAGAACGGCCCTAAGGCTTTCGGTAGTATCGCCTGCGCAGGTTTCCCCAATATGTTCATTGTTGCCGGTCCTCAAGGTCCATTCGCCAATTTCCCACCTGTCATTGAAAGTGAAATCAATTTCATCATGTCATGCATTGAATACGCCGAAGAAAATATTGCCGTGGCTCAGATGGAAAAACCAAATGGTGTCGTCAATGGCACTGCAAATGGTGGCTTGAAGACGACAAGTGGGGCTTACACGAGTGAAGGGAAGCCAAGGATTATGGAGGTATCCGATAAAGCTGAAACAACATGGATCGATTTGTGCAATCGACTGGTTGAAGGGTCATTGTTCACTTCGACGGCAAGCTGGATCTTTGGTCAGAATATTCCCGGCCGGAAACCAAATACGAACTTCTACTTTGGGGGTCTCAACAGCTACTTGGACTGGGTGAAATTCCAAACTTCCAATGGTTTCCCTGGTTTTCTTAGATACAATTCCTAGTCAAATGAATGAACACATTATGTTTCAGTATACTTAGGTTTCACTCTGGCGTTGAGCATAAGTTTCCGCGATATGTGACAATGCGCAGGACTCCCAAGCAGGAATTCTACTCAGAACACCAAAGAAGACTGCAGAATCGAGGTCATTATGTGGCTGAAGAATGTCCAAGTGCTTCACAATTGGATGCTAGCAATACTCAGGTCCCAATCATCATTGTTTTGTGATTGATCAGCAAACTTTCCCTTTTGGGCGATTTGGCGACTTCGCTAACGTTTTCCCCATTGGTCTGGGACAATATATATACAATTACCGTGACATGAAGGTACTTTTTCATATAGAGCTTAATTTTCAGATCAAACCTCGAATAATCATCGGATTTCATTGTCCCCACCAGCTTTTGTTCTTGCCTGTTCGATACAGCCCCGAACTTCTCGCCGCGCTCGATCAACGTTGACAATCCCAAAATATGAAGATCGCAATTGCAGGTGCCGGTGATGTTGCGGCTTACTTCATCGAAGAGTTCAGCCAGTCGCATGAGACTGTGGTTCTAAGCAGTTCTTTGAAAAGGAATGCTTCGATGTCAAGTGTTGAAGTGAGAACTACAGACTACACCGTCGATAGCTTGAAGGACAATATCGAAGACTGTGATGCTATTGTTTCAACTCTTGCCGGACCAAACGAAGCATATGTTGCTTCCACCTGGCGATTCTGGAAGCCTGTGTCCTATCTCCTAGGTGCAAGCGGTTCATACCGTCAGGAGGGACTATAAACATGGAAGACTTTCCTGATCAGCCTCTGTACCTGTCAAAATCACGAAATGCAGTTTTTGAGGCCTTGCGTGCTCAGAGTGAAATCAAATGGTCTTTCATGTGCAGGTGCAGCTACTGGTTTATGGACTATATTCTTCCTGCCTCGAAACGATTTTTGAAGGACATTGGGAACGAATGGGCCATGAATCATCCCGCAAAGGTCTTTGATTTGTATGGGGATGGGCTGCAAGAGATTACCTTAACGTCTGTGTGTGATACCGCCCAGGCCAGTCTCGCACTCCTGCAAGCGCACGACACTCCATGGAGTCAATCCACCCATCTGGATGGTCAAACATTGGCACCCCGTGAGCTTTTTGCTTTGTTGAAAAAGCACGACCCGAGCTGGCGACTGCAAAATATCACGTTGACCGA